CAATTTTTATGGAGAAATGAGGGAGAAACCGAACTTGATTTCAGTGCTCGTGATATCAGCTATTGGATTAGTTTTATATAGCAAAGTGAGTCTGAAAAGGATTATATGTATTAAATTGACAAGAAATGAATCACTTAATTCCAATTCCAAACTATATGGTCTGAACCCGATCCTGACAGTAGAAGGACTAATATGTCTTAGTGGTATATTACAGCATTGCGATTTTCAGTTTTAAGAAAAAGCATTCACGGATTATTCCAAGAAAATCTAGATTCACTGAACTGCTGATTAAAAGAGAACATGAGAACTTGCTTAATGCTGGTGTTTCAGATACATTCATTCAAAGTCGAGAAAATTATTGGATCATCCGAGGCAGACAAGCTGTAAAATCGTGCTTGAATAACTGTTTCATTTACAGGAAATTTAAGGCTAAAAAGGCACTCAAGTGATTGCTCCATTACTAGCAGATAGAATTCATGAAACAAATCTTTTTGAAATTGCAGGAATTTACTTTGCTGGACCTTTGTTTACAAAAGATGGAGACAAGGTTTACATCTGTTTGTTTACTTGTGAAGTCACACATGCAGTTCATTTTGAAATTGTTTCTACCCTAAACACTGAACATGTCCTTCTGGCATTTCATCGAGAAGTGTGTCAAGAACAGGTGTTTGTTGAACTATAAACTCTGACTATGCCAAAATTTTGAAAGGTGCAGATGTAGAACTGAAGAAGTTATATGCAAATATCATTGCTCCATCTGTATAAAATTATTTTGGTTGAAAGGGAATAAATAACATGGCATTTTACTGTTAACATGTTAGAAGATGATGAAAATCCTAAGTGAGAAAGGAATCGTCTTTCATACGTTTCAACCGCAAAGCGAGAGGAATATCAGGGCGATCATTAAGGATCTCCCTGCTTCTATTAAGGACGAGGCTATCCAGAACGACTTAACAAGACGAAAGTTTCTGGTCATCAAAGTGAAGCAGTTTGTGAGTAAAAAGAAGGACACTCAAGTAAAACTCCCGACTTTCTTTATCGAACTGAAACATAACCTGGAAGGAGAGCAGAACTATCAGCTGAATCACATGTTCCGTTTTGATATTCATGTAGAAAAATACAAGCCTCTAGAGGGATGTGTGAAATGTGGTGGAGCTCATCGGAGCAATACATGCTCCAAAAAAACCTGACAAGAAGCCGTGTTGTATACTGTGGAAAGGAACACGTGAGCAGTTTTCGTGGGTGCGAAGCCTACAAGAGGAGATTTGAGAAGAAGGCCCAACCAAAAACCCAGCGACAACCTGCACCATAAGTGACATCGGCGAACTTTCCGCAACTACCCAGGAGTGACAACCGCCCTGTTCAGATGACTAACAAAACCCGCTACAGTGAAAAAGTTAAAAATAGCAGAACTTTGGTGCCCAGTATTTTTGAAGGACAAGTATCGTGTTTTTTCAACCTGAACATTAAGGAACTTGACAAGATCTTACTCGAAATACTTAGCTTTCTGCAGAACGTGAACATTGCGGAGAAACTCCAAGCATTCTCCAAACAGTGCAGACACTTATGGAATTCATTAATTGTGAGTAACTTTATTTTTCAGTAACCATCTCACAAACTTGACGGCTTTCTCTGACATTCTATTATCAGTGTTTAATTTATCCTTAAATATCGCAATTTAATCATTATTTAATTTCCCCTTTTTTCCATATTTTTTATTTGCATCTATTTGGATAAATTTTTTTTAACTTAACTAAATTCTATAAAGAATCAGGCTACTTTTTGACAACACTCGCAAAGTTAAAAATTGTTCTACAGGATATAGGGCCTTTGGCCGGGTGTCACGAAGCACTGCTCTACTGAAGGTGAATTTTACTGTCGAATGAGCAGCTTGGTGGATAAGATATTGGGACATTAAATATGTGAAACCGTAATTTATGAAATAAAGAACAATTATGATCTAAAGGGTATCAAAATTTAGAAAAAAAAAAAAAAGCTTAATATTTATTTGTTTACCTTATTAAACATTTCTTTCAATGTAAGTTGTGTAAGTTGCTTCGTTTTTTCGTGTTAATACATTCTCTTTAATTCTATAGACAGACATAATCTGTTAAGTTACATTGTTGAAGTCCTGTAGCCGCTATTTCACGAATTCAAACTAACTTGTCAATCAAAATTTTCTCGTTTTCAGTAACTTCTCTGTCACTTTCTTCACTTCCGATAGTGCTATTTTCTAGATCTAGAACCATACTACAGATTTCGCCATTCATTCATTGATTGATATTTGAGAAGCATTGTCATCACAATGAAAAACTTCTTTTATATCATCTTCATTTATTATCACTTCTCCACATTTCTTTACAAAATCCGTTAGCTGGAAAATTTCACCTTTGTTTGCGATATCTAAAAACCTTTAAAATTAGTGGCTATCATCATCAAATTTAGCTTTCCTTCACTAGACATATTTGGCTATGCATCATGAGCTTGGCGACTAACAATGAGTTGTTTCGTTAAATTTTATCTTGCTTCCATCGCACACTGAGACAATTAAGCCTGAATTGCATTGGTTTAGTTATTTATTATACTTATGTCTGTTTCTTGAGCATGCTTACGGCTTATCAGAGTTTTGAATAAATAAATTCTCCCATATACTTAAGCCTTACTGAGGGCCGGTGCCCGATATATTACTGCCTGAAGCAGTCTCTGTGGGTCCTAAATTCTGCGACTCATTGCGGCCATATGAGCCCTTGCACTGGTTCTGTTTTTATGTGAATAATAAATCAGTTATTCTTAATTTAAATATCCCTAAATGTAATCTTTGGGTCTATGAGTAGCATCAACAAAATCTATTTTCAGCATATGGAAAGAAATTTTTGGTAAATTTTCGCCCCATTAACATTTTTTAGCTTAAATCTGTAATCATCGCCAAGTGTAAGGTCAACGTAGAAGGTTACCCCATTCCTTTATTATTCAATTACTAACATAAAAAATTGTTTAGGCATTGCTAGATGAGTCATTACTCAAGCTGTCATGTTTTAATAAACATGCGGTGATGAAAGGAAAGTATAACAAATAATGATTCGCCAGGTTAGTGTCAGATCAACGATGCATCTATGTGGAATGTTTCGGTTTGAGATGTATGCCAAGCAGATACACAGCAATGGAGCCAAATTACTGATCGTACAAATTTATGCTTAAAATGATTGCTTCTTCAATAACAAGGTATTTTATTTAGTGTCGAAGTGAAAATAATAATCGGGACTCTCCAGATGTTTTATTATGGGCAGAGGGGGAAATCAAATGCGCATGCGTAAAGCCTATGAGAAAATGTTGGTGGTGGTTTTGAGGTCCGGATTTTAGATCATTCCGGATAATGGATGTCCGGATTTTGGACTTTGTACTGTATTTGTTTGAATCATGTTTGTTACTGTTTTCAATAAATAATCAAAAGGCACCTATTGTAATAGGAATGACTCCACACATCAAAACGAAGACACTACAAAGGGAAAGATAAACTACCTGCAGTTATAATGCTGATAACTACAATCTCATGCTTAGAGTAAAAACATTTAAAGAAGTATACAGCATGCATACACACACCAAAAAAAAAAAAAAAATGCTTTGAAATATGTAGGCTAGGGCAAAAGTCATGACAATTATTTTTTTTTCTTGAAGATACCAGTCTGGTTGGAAAATGTGACAGATACAGACGAAAGGACAAGGTCTTAACTACATGTGTGGACAATGAATAGCACTGAAATATTGTAACACACAAATTTATTACGGTAGTATACAGGGCAATTTAGCCTTCACCGTGCAAAAGAATGATAACACACTACACATAATGTTGACATGACAAACCTGGGCCTAAAGACCTTCACTGTAGTCCCCTCTTACTGTCACCACAAGCTGCCAATGATGTGGGAGGCGCTGAATACCATCAGCCTCAGCATTTACCACACTATGTGTGAATCGGGTCATCTGTTGCCGCACAGCATTAGCAATGTCCTCTCATGTTGAAAACCGCCATGTATTGGTTCCTTAATCTTGGGAATGAAATCAAAGTCACAGGGCGAAAGGTCAGGAGAGTACGGAGGGTGCTCCAATTCTTCCCATTCCCAACGTCGGAGTAGCTGCCGTACACACTCTGCTTTATGTGGTCTTGCATTGTCGTGCAAAATTACTGCACTGTCCACAAGATCCAGACATTTATCCCGAATGCCACATCGTATCTGTCACACCAGGAAGTCCCTGTAGTACTGTGCGGTCACTGTTCTGCCATGAGGAACAAAGTGGAAAACAATGACTCCCCTGACGTCATACGCGATGATCACCATCAATTTGATTGGGGAAGGATTCTGACGCTAGCTCATTACGCAATAACCTGTGGACGGTACGTTTTCGACGCCACTTGCCCTCTCTAACTCCAGTAATGTCCATTGTCTGTCTTCATACATGAGGTGCTCGATGAACGGCACGTGGCAAGTCGGTCCGCACACTCACCGGTCATCCTGAACGTTGTTCATCACGGGTGTGACACACGTCCTTGCTGAAACTTTCCTACCCACCGTTCTATTGTACAATATGGCAGGGCATTATTCATAAGGGCTTCTACTAATTCACGGTGATATTCCATCGCATTTCTTCTTCAGAGAACGGCTATTTTGATGTAAGCTCGCTGCTCAACACGGGTTACTTCCATCTCGCACGGCACTCACCAACTGGCTGATTTCAGAGCCCTCGCTACCGCAGAACCAGCTCTCACAGAGCCATTTGTTGTTCTGCATACACACTATGCCTGCAGAACTTCCACACGAAACATATACGTTTTGTGATCCATTCACATATCTACAAGAAAAAAATAGTTGCTATGACTTTTGCCCCAACCTTCGTATTTAAAAAAAATCTACATTTGTATGTGAAACCTAAGGAATTTTTAAATAATCATGAGAAGTCCTTTAAATTTAAAACTGAATATGTTATTTTCAAAATGTTTTAACCTCTTGCAGCATTCCAATAAATTCTGAAAATGCCCAGTTGAGTTGGTTCAACACGCTGCTTATGAAAGCTGCTGCAGCTTCTGGATTTTCTAATAACCACTGACTTGCATGTTCCAAAAACACAGGAGATGGGCAGGGAGCTAAAATAAAAAAACATATCTAGGGTAAGTGAACTACTGTAAAACTGTTTTTGTACATTCTATCTTTTACTTTATTGAATTAACGAAATATAAAAAAAATACCAGAAATATTTCCCAATTAATGACTAACTTCAAAATCTACTTCAAATGCAACAAAAAATTAAGTAGTAGTATCTTTAAGCACAACAGTGAGCCTGTTATTGACCCACCTTGCTTCTAGCATGAATTGAGCTTTGAGAAATACATTGACCAGCATCAAAAACACATTATTTATTACTGGAGCTTCTATTATTATTATTCTAATATTATTGAAAACCAACAACTTAAGGAATTGATACAATTAAGCATCAAGTTCAAAATTAACTATAATCCTAGAAAAAATATTTGCCTTAAAAATATCAAATGCAACTTTAATCAATTTATTATTACCACCAGCTGCAAATACAGCTATCCACTCAATTCCTTTGAAGAATGGAAACATCGTATTTGCAATGGCATTAAAAATAACATTAATGAACTTCAATTCAATAATATAAATAGAATCAATTTTAATTGCAAGAACTTTAAGAAAAGCATAGAGAAGCCTAAAACCCAATTTATTATTGCCACTATTGACAAAGCTAACAACAATGTTAACATTATTTGTAAAAAATTCTATCAAGAACTTATTAGCAATGAACTTAATAACAAGGTTACTTAACAGAACTCTAAAAAATCACTCATTAACAGATTTAAAGCATTTCACAAAAACCTTTTAAATTATCAACAAACAATATCATAAATTCTCCTGTTTGCATGCACTTTCAAAATTTCATAAGAGTCTAATCAAATTCAGATTTATAGCTAATGGAATAAATAATGAGAAAAAAGGGATCTAGATTCATGTAACCAAAATTCTCAAAAAAGTTTTTATTGAGGTCCAGAAGCTAATTTATATTAACTGGACAGCAAATGGATTATCAGAAAGTAATTTAAACTAAACAAATTTACAATATTAACTGTTATGATTTTGAGGACTTATACACCACCTTGCTACTTAAAGTACAATAGAACTGAGTTCTATCCACTATTTCTCAGCATTTAAAACTTAAAATTGATAAATGGAACCCTTATCTTAAATATACTTTTTTACAATTTAATTATTGATTATTCAGTTATTGATAATTCGCAATTTAAATTTTTATTAAATATCAAAAATAATGTTTTCTACATATGAATGATATTCCTATGGGGTAACCAACTATTCAATGGCTATCTGTAACCTGTTCCTCTTCATTGAAAAATATAATTTTATTAACAATTACCATAAACTAGAACTTTTTTTAACTCACCTACAGGTATATTAAGACATTATTGCCATTAATAAATAAAAAACAAAATATCTATCTAATAGGATATCTAATATCGACAGAAAAATTATTGTTAACACTATTATTGATCAAACATATTTTGTCTGATTACATTAATAAAAACTATTTGTAATAACAGAATGATTTTTAAAAAAAGCTTAGTTTATTTATTAAAATGTTAAAAATCAACAAAATTCCACATAATTTCATCAAATAACAACAAGTTAAACTACAGTTGTCAATCTAAAAATTATTTTCACCATCAAACTGTTGTTTTTCATAATAGGCTGTACTGAAACAATTATGCCGGTACAGTTTGGATGTTCTTAACATAGTTAAATTAGGCATTCTTTTCAAAATTCTTACATCAGTTTCAATTTAGATTAGATGACTATTTAATAATTATCTATCCTTTTAATTAACAAAATGGGCCTGCTTAAGCTTCCGAGTCTCAAAAATGCCCGCTTGGGTCAAGTCTATATTCTGTAACATTTGAAAATTTTTTTCTTTTTCTGCTATTTTTTTCCTCGATTAGGTAGGTACCTATAATTTGTAATGTTTAAGCTAAATTCCTCATTTGCATTCGCTAAGATTGCTCATTCTTTACTAACACTGCCCTCCATCACTTTATTTAGCTTCTAGAATTTATTTATTTACTCTTCACGATTTTTTTTAACTTTCTCAAAAATGTTTTTACATTATACATTAAAACTTTCTTGATAGCTGAATTAAAAAAAATAATTATTATGGTATTAAACACAACTTATTCCATTCCTTGAACTGAAGAAAAATAATACATCACTTGAACTTAATTTTATGGCGGTTTTTATTGGACTTCTTTTAGGAATTAGGTAATTCGATGTTTATTCCTGTTATAAATTATTCATTTTTACTACGTTATATTTAATGTTACAATAGAAGTTTTTTTTCTAATTATTATTATTATTAGTCAGTTTAAAAATCATATTTTATCTTATTTCATTACATAGCACATTTCAGGCTTAGCAACAGTATTTTGCTACTGAACATGTTGAATATAATTTTTCAATTCCAAACTTTTGTTGCTTTAATGTTACAAATTTTAAGAACTCACTACTTTTTATTTATTTTATATTTTTTAAGATCAAATTTCATTTATTATTTTTTATATGTTGGATTCCTTCCATTTTGCATGTTTTTTGGATTCGGTCCACGTCAATTGAAAATTTTTATTATTAGATTTTCGAGCTTTTTTGCTTGTTTATGATACGTATCTATAATTTAAAAAGAAACTGACCCAGCCTGCATAGTTTCTTTTCAGCTTTTTTATTTTTCCATGTATTTGATTGCTATATTTACATGTTCTGTTTTTGGACTCAGTTTACTCAGAATAATAATTTTAGCATTTTTAAAATTTGTTCATGTCTGATGTTATAATTTTCCAATTTTTTTACATTAGTTACTTCATCCTGTAAGGAATCGATAGAAAAATACACAGAGTACTTTTTTATTATTTTAAGTTTTAAACTTTACGTCTCTATTAGTTCAAAAGCAGGTCAATTTATTTACTTCTTTCTTTGTACCAGCCCCGATAACGATGCAGTGAAAGATGTAATTTTTTTTTCAATTATGTTGACAAAAATATTCTGAAGACAGTGTTGCCTAGATAGTGGCAACTTTGCACAAAGTTATATTTCTGTGTCCTGCTTAGAAAAAACTAGAATATTTAAATCAAAATTAAATAAATTTCAAGAAACTTTTATTCATTTCACACACATATGTATAATACATGTGCATGGATTCACCTTCCCTGATTAGCTTAGTGGTTAGTGATGCTAGCTGCCATATTATTGGGCCCAAGTTCAAATCTCAGAGAAGGCATGAATGAACACTTATAAGTATGTAGTGTTCTGTGTGGCATGGGACACTTAAAATATTCCAGAAATGAGAGACCTATCAAATGGTTTGGTGGTTGAGGAGGAACAGGAGAAGACCCTCGGACTCACTCCTGTCCACTTTTTTCTATCCTATACTGTCCTGTGTATGGATTCATAATAACAGAGTATCCCTCCCAAAAAATCACCTTCCAACTATAAATAGGATTTTAAAATCAAAATTAAATTAATTTTATGAAATACTTATTTAATAATTATAAAATTTATTTAATCACTGTAAATATTTTAGCATATAAATGTAAAATACATATGTATATACTACTATAACAAACAAAACATCTAAAAATTGGATGATCACAAAAATATCATAAACACCTTAATACATTTTTTACATAGGTAAGTATGAAGATATTTACTGCATGTTAATCCTCTTAGTTTTAGCCACCACAAAATTCTTAGATAATTTACACATAAATATTCCAAATCATCATTTTTGATTCTATTAATTTATTATTTCTATTAATTTTAATTCTTAAAAACACATTTATAATTGAAAATAATCTTCTTTTATTAAATTTAGTTCTGAAAGAATTTTTCTCCAAGAAGATATGGGTACGGATAACATTAAAATGAGTTAATGCAGCAATGTTCAAAAATACATCAGTTAAAACACTTTCATATAAATAGTTTATAAAATACATAGATCAAAATGATGCATATACTTACTTAATTCTGTAGGCGATGGATTGATAAATATACTGATTACTTTTTATTATTTTAATATTTAAACTTTAATTTGTGTCTTTGTTAGTTCAAAAGCAGGTCAATTTATTTACTTCTTTCATTGCACCAGCCCTAATGAGGATGCAGTGAAAGATGTAAATTCTTCTTCTTTTTTATTTTATTTATTTATTTATTTATTTTCTTTTTTTTTTTTTTTTTTAAAGATTTGAACTTATAACTAGTTGCAATTTTAATACTGCTGGATACATAATAATGCAAGATGACAATAAAATAACACTCAGAGTAAAAGTAAATGAGGAAAACTAGTGAATTGCAATATACAAAAAATGTTAAATTAGGTTATTTAAATATGATAAAACCTAAGGGAAAAGATGACTTTCAGAAGGACTTTTTAAGAGAAATAGGTCGTATTCATGGTGTTATAAAAATATGCAAAAATAAAACAGTAACAGGAGATGGTTGATCTCTTATTTATACTTTCATTTTTGCTGAATATTTAATAATAATTTATTATTAATTATCTATGTTTCATTAATTGCATAAAATTCTCTACATTTAGAAATATGACTGGTAATGTTTGATACATAACATACTGCCGTTTCCAATGAAAGAATGCATGAATGACAATGTATAATAAAAAATTTTCATCTTTATTTTTTCAAAAAATTTCTGCGTTTCACAATTTTTCACATAAAAGCAATAATAGCCATAAATGAAACATTACAAAATACTCACTTTGTGATATAGTAGGAAGTGCCTCTGGTAATGGAATTGATTTACAATTCATCTTTTTTGCCATATGAGGGGAAACGGAGTAACGAAAAGCAAAGCCACAACCCTTTGAAAATAAAGAGAAAACAGACAAGCAATAAAGCACCAATCTCAACATTAAGAGAATTACTGTTACTTTCCATGATAACTATATTCTATTAAGATGATAAATATATTAATAGAATATACAAATTTATACACAAAAAGTATACATATAAATTTATATACAAAAAGTATTAATTATCAAATTCAATTTATTTATTACTCTATTTAAAATAAGAAGAAAAACTAAAATTTTGAAAACAGTAGAACACAAAAAACAACATATTCAGTTAAACATGAAGTTGCCTCAAAATGCATCGTAGTTTGATGAAATTAATTACAAACTGAGTTTTTGCTTAATTTTAAATTCCAAATTAAAATCCTTATCAATCTTCCCTCAAATCACAATCCTTAGTTAAACAGACATTTAGAAATTATTTCAACTATAACATCTAGTATGTAAAAAATAGAATAAAGATAATAAAAAATTCTCAAATTCAGAGAAAATATTGTTCTTGCAATTGCTTTAATGTATAGTCTGATAATTTTTTTTTATGAACCTCTGACTTACTAGTGATAAGATTAATTGTCTTAATGCATCAAGAGCTAGCGGATATGCATCTTGCATATGGGGCAGCTGGCAAAAGTTGCCACCGAGTTACACAAGTTTACAAAGACTAGTACCCCAACAGAAGAATACTGCAGCATCAAATGTATGCACTTGTACATCGCAATCATGCGAAAGTAGTTCACTGTGCAGCAACATACAGGATACTGAGAGAAGATGATTGATGCAGACTATCAACATCACAGAACAAGTTTTACAGTCCATCGAAACGACGCTAATAATACAGACCTTAAAACATATCACCCTGCTTGCGCACCAAACCACTCAATATATCAAAAGGAAATGACCAAAATAATTAGAAGAACCGAATATGACATCTTAGATTAAATTCATCCTTACAACCAAAAAGTTAAAATCACTTCTTGACTTTAATTCAACAAAACATTATAATTAAAATGTTGACAATACTCAAGAAAATTTATATATATCCACTAAGTACAAGTGCTTCACAAGAAAGATGACAGAAAAATATTAAAAGATTACTACACTACAGATATATAAATATATTTATGTAACAAAATAAACTGATGAAATCTGTTACATGAACTAAAACTAAATTATAACTTATTATATAAACCTATTATGCCAACTTATTAAGTATTGTACTTAATAAGTTATCAAGTGATAAGTTAAGTACGTTATCAAGTGAAAACATTTACATTAAACAAAATGTGATATATAAACTTAACTATAAGAATTTGACATAAAATTATGATATGAAATAACAGTAACTCAAATAAAAGAAACGGAATCATATACTAAACTATATATCAAGAAACTATTATGAACTATTATAATTATGACTGTTGGTCTAATTATTTTTATATTTATCAGAATTATTATATCTAACGGTTATGATACCAATCAAAATGTTAATGTACTATTATAAACAATTATACATACCAATTTTAAAAATTATACATGATCATGTCATTGTCTATTAACCTGTTGATTATGATACCAATAATAATGACAATGAACTATTATGAACTATTGCAAATACTAACTATTAATCTAGAGCCTAAAGGATTTAATAATCCTGCTGAATAGACATGAACTTATTCCAAATACTAAGAACTGTGAACTATTTACCTAATTATGGAATTATTTATTATTAACTATTAAGAACTATTATAAATACTAATTTATAAGAACTAATGTTAATGAACTATTATAATTATTTTTGTTGTTTATAACACCAATAATTTTGCCAATAAACTATTATGAACTACTTTTTACCAATATCCTATAAATGCACTATTATGAACTATATACAAATTATATATAAACTATATAGCAATAAACTATTTATAAACTGTATGCAAATGTATTACTTTGAACTTTTATGAACTATTACAATTTTAAACTATCAGGAACTTATTAGGATCAATGAACTATTTATCACTGATCTATTGGATATATATAAACTGTGTTATATTTGAATATATACTATATTGAATCGCTATACTAAACTAAATTGAATTATACATTTCATTATATATTGGCCCAGCATCGGCTGAGCGGTAAAGACGCTGAACGCTGGTAGTTCGGTACGAGGTTTGAATCCCATGAACGGACTGGCTGCATGGGCGTTTTCATGGTTTTTCCCATGTGTAACATGTATATGAGCCAGTTTCCCTTAGAAAGTCCTCCACGAAAGGCATCCCTCCTTTTAGGCAGATAGCCCTGATGTGCTTTGCCATAACTGAATAATCCATCCATTATAGACTGAATTAGTGAAACACTAAATTGTACTATTCATTTAAAAGTATCATACTAATTAATTTAAATTCTTAAAACTATACCATCTATTTATAACTAGTCAATATTGTATTGTATCAAGTGCATTATACCGAATACCAAATTGTACAAGACCACCAAGACCAAATTATACAAGACGAAACTGGATAGGTATTCAAAGCATGTAACTGCGATGATATCATCTGTTAAAAGTTATGTATATTTTTGAAATTTTAATAAATGTCCGGAGTATTGGTTGGGAGTGCCGGGGTTCACGGGAGGTCTCAGGACTGTCAGTGAGAGGTGAAACAAATGTTTCATGTCACGACAGCTCAGTGAGCCCTGTACATCGAAGTCTGGTGGGACTATACCAACATTATTTATAGTAAACACTTGGTGCCCCACTACATTTCTACCAGACCAGACCAGTCCATTGAAAATTTTCCAAATACCAGCATACGAGCTATTGTTCAGCAGCTTGGGGTCTCTCAAATCAGCAGCCTGATAAATAATGCACGAGGAATGTGTGCATACTTACCATCTGCAAAGGGTGCAGTTACTGCATCCTAACAATTATTCGAAGCACGTTGAATTTGCACAATGGTTTATGCAGAAAGATGCCGTGGACCCCAGTTTTCCAGCTTCTGTCCTTCCAAATGAAAGTGTGTTCAATATACACAATTAACATGTGTGGGCTTATGACAACCTAGACGGTATAAGAAATCATACTGGGCAACATCATTTTGCTATAAATGTGTGGGCTGGAATCATTGATGACTGTTTGTATGAACCTTACTTGCTACCACCTTGATTGGACGGCCGGAAATACCTAATCTTTCTTGAGACAGTAATACCAGCTCCTCTGAGCACTGTTACTGCGCATATCCACCGCGATATGTAGTATAAATATGACTGAGCTCCAGCCCATAGAACAGCTGTGCATAATTACCTGAACCGAACATTCGGAGCTCGATGGATTGGCATGGGTGGACCGATCGCTTGGACACCCAGGTAACTCGATTTATCATCCATGGATTTCTTTTTGTGTGGGGCTATGAAAGACCCTGTGTACAAGACCCCTGTCGACAGTGAAATGGATCTTGTTGCCCGACTAGTGGCCGCTGCAGGAATTGCCCCGTTGCCAACCATGCCAAGCATTTTTGAAAATGTTCGGCAGTCTATTCAATGGCACTGTGAATCCTGTGTTTGTGTGAATGGTCGGAAACTACTGTCACCCTTTACTTTACCTTGTTGAAATAAAGGTCACATTCTTTACCACTTAACTGTACTGTTTCCCAATGTTAACTTTACTTGTCCATTTTGTTTGTGTAGATAACATTTGCAGACATACTTTCCTACATGAAATTGGTTTCCTGACGTCTTCCATACCTTCCCACAAAATGTGAAAGGCAAATATTGAATTATCCTGTATGTATATAAATTTTGGCCAGTCCCATTTTTTTATCATACGACCGGCTAGGAGGACCGGGGCTGTGCCTTTATAATAATATATAATACAGACAAAAGTCTTTAATCCGGACGTCCATAATCCGGAATGATCTATAATCCGGACCTCAAAGCTACAAACTTTCTGCGCATGCGTAAATGCATGCATTTATTTATGCATGTGCATAATACCTTTACGCATGTGCATATCCATTTACGCATGTGCATAATACATTTACACATGTGTGTAATGTTTAACGCATGGTATAAGCTAAGCTAAAATTATCTAATTATCTATTTCAGTTAATGTTGCAGGTTGCGTTGTTCCTTAATCTTTAAATTGGATCCGGCTTATTATTTTTTGCAGACTGTTACAGCAATTTTATAAAAGTAAGCTTGAACTTTCGATTATGTCAAAAAGAATTTCTGATTCTGGAGCTGCCAAAGAAACTACAAAGCGAAAGCATATTTTGATGTCCATAAAATGAAAAATGGAATCGCTGCAAAAAAATGGATAAAGGCATATCCTTTGTTTCTCTAACCATTCCAAAATCTGTTTATCAACTTCACTCTGCTCTGCCGGGGGTGGGATGTTGCGGCGCGCGCGCAATGAACTGGAAGTTGATCTGTCAGCACTATCCTTATATTCAGGGCAGATGTTTTTATTTTATTCGGCTTGTAATTCCTTACTAAATGTAATATTTCATCTCGATCTACTCCTTTGATATGATTTAAATCAAATTCCTCGTCATTATAAATATCATGAATACACATCAAATAGTTTTCTGGTTGCAATTTTCTAATTTCGACTATGTGTAATGTATGCTTTACGCATGCGCGCGTTGAAAGAAATGTTTAATAAAGTAAACAAATAAATATTAAGCTTTTTTTTTTTTTTTTTGTAAATTTTGATACCCTTTAGATCATAATTGCTCTTTATTGCATAAATTATGGTTTCATATTTTTAATTTTATAATTTCTGCATGCCATCTTACCAGATTTAAACTGATGATCTATAATCCAGAAAAACTGATAATCCGGAATCGCCGAAGTCCCAACGAGTCCAGATTAAAGACTTTTGACTGTATATAAAATTACTTAAAATTTTATTTTAGCAATAGTCCTTTTAATTCCTCATTTTAACTTGGTTAAATCCTCTTCCTGGAGTCTAAAGTGCATCATATCTGAAAACTAATTATGTCATCATATCC